CAGCAATATTCCAGCTATATGGCGGCGGTCTGTAAATAATCGAGTCTGAACCAGACAATCCAGGGGTCAACAGCATGAACATCGATCTACGCAACTGGGATACGATGACATGTGTCAACCCAGTCAGCGAGCCTGACCACAGATCCCGTTAGTCGCCTCTAACGACAAGCATGGGTTCCTGAAGATCAATTCTAACCCGAACCTTCACTGGGTTGGTGTAAAGAAAAAGTAGCTGTGTAATTTATATGAATGGATCACTGAAAATAAGCCATGACACCAGGTGTTCGCAAAAAGGGTAAGCATGTCCTACCCTACAGGGTAGCACAACCATTCACAAAATGTGCCTAAAATTGAAGCATGCTTTTCCTGATGCTATACAGCAGTACTGCCATGCCTGTGAATGGCTGTGTTACCGGTAGGGCTGGAGGGGTGTCCTCACTGTGCCCCCTGCCTTTGTTTCAAGGTGTGAAGCAGTCACTCGTGGTTAACTAGCTAACAATGGGGGGATTAACTAGTGTTGGGAATTGGTTAAAATATCACAATCGATGATTGCTTCCTTACCAACGAACAATCATCGAAAAACATTGGTTAGCGTCTTTTTTCAGATTTTCCTATCCAGGTTGTTATTGCAGATATGTATAACAAGATGCAACTTGCTACTTTAAATTGATGACTAATATATCATGAACATAAACTTCTTCAAGATATATTCAGTCATGGCTTTTCAGTTAGTGAAGTGAGTTTTCTATGAATTAAACACGTTTTCAGGCACTGACAACTTCAACGATATGTTCCATTGTCAAGTATTTCAAAGAGTAAAAAAGTAGTTCAAAAATCGTTTATGTTCGATTATGAGAAAATGTGACCGATTGCTTGGTCGTTTGGTCACTGCGACCAATCTTCGATTATTTCAATTAATCGGAACACCACTAGGATTAACAAGGGATTAAGTAGAGCCAGTTCTGAAATTTATTGTACCTCAGCATAAAACATTCACACATGATACTCGCATTTATATCACCATTTCATTTATACACGAACAATGCAGTTAACATTCACACATGATACATGATACCTTGAAATTATAATACATGAAACATTATCCTCCATTTCACTTATACATCAACAATGCGCGATATTGCATTTGCATATTCAATCGGAGTGATTCTACCTTGCAGTAGATTGTCCTTTTCAACATTCAGGATACTGTCCAGGTGACAATATTTCTGTCTTTTTGGTCTCAGTTTTCCACCACCACCCAACTGCAGCATCATGATCTCGGTGTAGCACTGTTCATTCTTCATCATGTCAGTGAACTTGAAGATACAAACCTGACATCATGTGATCGATGAACCGGAAAATCTAGTTAGATTATTTGTAATTACTACTGCTGTGAAGAAGAACAGAAATTCCGATGCTTTTAAGTAAATAAATTGTTTGAGAAATACTTTTTGTACAACATGTAGAGGGTCAGTTTTACTCTCGGACTAAACATGTCCTCTTTTGTTACCTCAACATTCTTAAATATGCTACTGTGCTCATGATGAACCTTGGGGACTTCAGTCCACTATGGGGAGATAACTCCATGAAACAATTGACAAACAACAGGATCCTATGACATCTAAACTTTATTTCATTTAGTCTATCAATTATAATATGGCCTATGACATGGGATAACAAACGAATCACTCATGACGACATCCATTCATGACTGTGTCTATAAAATATTTTAGTCGATATATGGAAGTATTTCGCCTCGCATCTTACTCACTTCCCAAATAAAATGTTTTTGTAAATTGTCGAATAGAACCAAACAAACAGATCAAATATAAAAATCATGAAACAAGCTGAGTTAAGATATTTTGGAGAAAACTTAAGAGTAAGTGCATTTGTTGATGCATTTCAAATGGATATTTGATGCAATACCTGATGCACCTAATTGTGCATCGATTTGTATGGATTTTCAAAATGTACAATTTTGCATTGGAAATTCCTATACCTTTTTAAGATACAGAGTAAATACATGAATGTCCGAATGCTTTATTCACTAGTATGTATAACTACTCTGTGTTACTGCTGAACAACAAAACAATACTATCCTTCAAGCAAATTTGCCAAATATTAGAAAGTTGTAAGAAAGATATTAGAAAGTTCATCTGATGCAACCTCCAAGGGAAATAATATCATATTTTCACACTGAAAGGTATTCTAAAGCAATAAAAGATCCGATAGTATTATGGTTGCCTGAACACTGTCTATTTAGCTTTCACAATTTTGCTTAAAGGTCACATGCAACGTAAAACATAACTTTGCAGATTCTGATACCTTTCGGTATGGACTTACCGAAACAAATCGTCAAAAATGCAAATTCAACTTATAAAGTTGAAAAATAACGCGATGAAAAAAAACGCGCGAAATCGGAGTTCAAACGTTTCACTAATTTTCCCCAGACTTTTCTGGGGAAAACGGGTTTCAACAGCTGGGCTGCGCTCATAGCACGTGCGCAGTGAAATAGGTTCGCGCAACTTGGAAGCAGGTTGTCCGGTGAATACTCGGTGAAGGCTTTGGTGTGAGCTATTTTTCTAATGTTTTGTTGATATCTCACAGGCGCGAGCTTTTTATATGTTATGACAGTAAATTAACTGTTTATATAATTTCACCACACGTTCTTCTTACCGAGTCACTTTCTCAGTTCGATACTTAAAAGCAACGTCATTATTTAGCGTTGACAGAATTTCTAACTGTGATATAGATATGTCGTTGTCACAGACAAAACTCAATGTCTTGTTTTATTGACATCTGTGTGTCTGCCTGCCTGTCTGCTAATGACAATATTCAATACACAGCTGCTATCACTGACCACATGCAATTTGAACTTAACACCAATCGGGCTATACACCATAAACAAAATGCATTGATTTATGGCCCGAGTTCGGTCTCTGTCACATTATGTAATTACACAGACAGGCAGGTGTGATAGTTGAACACATGACATGTTATGATGTCTGTTGATTGCAAAATGTTATACACAAAAAATGAGCATGTATTTACAAAACCCAACATCTCTACATATACACACACACAATAAGCCGTGAGGACATCTGCAAATGAACCAGCCGTTACACTTGAGTGCACACCCACCCGCTCTGACTGGGTTCGGTATCCCGGCTGCTTCGTTTCTTGGGAAGTAAACCGAAGTACACAATATTGCACTTTTGATTTGCGATTGTACGCTTATAATTTTGTTTATATGTTTTTTCATAACCAGCAATGTATATTATATGTCACGAATAAGTGATAATTGTGTTTTAATAATGTTTGATTTTTTGGTTGCATGTGACCTTTAAAGGAAAGTATTATTTGTTCATCAGCAGCAATATAGACTAGCCAAAGAAATGAATGATATTATGAGCAGTGTTCCCTCTAATCCAATAGAATTCTGCCATTTAATGTTACAGTACACTCACAGGGGTCCATTTTGAGCTGCACTCAGAAAATTTCTTTTGTACATACAAAAAACACCAGACCAATTTAATAACTTGTTTTACTTTATTAAGTTAAGTCAAACACCTGCAATAACGAGACTGAAACATTATAAAGAATAACTTCATACAACTCAAGAATAGTTTGATTCCCCACGTGGGCATGTGTGAAGGCCATTTCTGGTGTTCCCCACTACGATCTTGCTGGAATATTGCTAAAGGTGGTGTAAAACTAAAACTCACTCCTTTTTGGACAGCAAAATGTTATCCTGTTGCATCAAATGAAAGTGTGAATAACGGTTTTGCTTTTACCAATGGGGTGGGAAACACCAGAAAAGTTCTCAACACATTCTACCCATGTGGGGAATCCAACCCAGGCTTTCCATGGCAGAAGCAAAGGCTTTAACCACCAGATTACCCCACCAACAAGAAATGAATTATTAGGGAGTTTAGGTTCATGCCGCTTTTAGCAATATTCCAGCAATATCATGACGGGGACACCAGAAATGGATTTCGCACATTGTACCCATGTATGGAATTCAACCCGGGTCTTGGACTTGACGAGTGACCGCTTTAACCACTACGCTACCACACCGCCCAGTTAAAGTTAGAAAGTGATATCCCAAACAATTTATCACTTTTTAGCAGTGAAACAAGTAATTAAATTGATCTGGTCTAAACATAGAACTCTACTAAACAAAGACATATGAATAACATAAACATCTACAATATGATTGGACAGTCTTGACTATGTAATCTTTGGAATCCAATTCAATATTTTCAATAAACACACAAAGTCTACTTCTGGAATGACCATTAACATGGAGGCTGCTGTAGTCCACTATCAATATCTGACATGTCGGTCACCTTACAAAGTAGTTTCAGTACAAATATAACATGCCTAATTAATGAAATAGCTCAGTATAAAACACTCTTCCATACAGTACAAATGAGCATACAAGATGCCATGGGTAACCATAGCAACCAGAGAAAAGGTAACTTCAGCAATCAGAGAAAAATCAAATAGCACATTCACAACAGTGTGTACAAAATATACCAGTCTTGTGAAAATGTAATTGAATGGAGAAATTGTATTTGTAAACTCCACGACTTGATGCAGTGTTAAAACATAATGAAAGATCTTAATGTAATTAAAATTTATCCTAAACAAAATAAATTCACAATACAGTATCCATGCTGCCTTTGACTAAAAATTCTTCAGAATTGTAGAGATGGGTCGCATTTTGATGTTGAAAGGGATCATATTATAAAATGCAAAATAAAAAGATGTGTGAATAGTATGTTTGACATAAACCTGTTTTATCTTTCATTGAAAATATCAAAATGGTCATTAAACATATTCTTTTATCCAAGAGCTCTCAATTCAGTTCAAATACACACACTGACTAATGGATTACTTACTAAAGGCATCAAGCCATATCACATTAAAGAGGAAAAAGAACATGAAAGGGTAGTGAATTAACTGTTACCATGGCTACAGAACATGGCAGTGGTTACTTGTTTCTGTTTTGGTATTGCAATATGAATGCCTAATCACTGTACTAGGCACCCTTTTAATTCAGCTTTTTCAGAGAAAACATGCTCAAAACATGTCAAATATTTTTGTCATTATTTCACTAAACATATTGAATAATACATCAACAGCTGATTTGATTTGTATTTGTTACCAATATTCATATGTACATGTATCAAATTCACCTCATAGTGGATTAGTTGCCGCCCTAATATTAACTGATATCAAAAAGGTCAAGGTACCCGTTTCAGTTTGTTAACTACATATGTCAGACAACAAACATATATCATACGAAGACATTGAAAAAGCATTCATGGTGCATATTACAATGCACACATTACTGGTATATCACTTTGCTATTAAATATATTTACTACTACAATTTATACAGTTTATGATTTTCTAAAACTTACCTATTTCACATAAAAATATATAATAATCAAAACCTGAAAATTACTTTCTCAATGTCTGTCAGTTCATAAAATACACATAATTTTACATGAACATCAATTGGTAAACATGTGCCTGAAATTTTACTTACATGAGCAATTAGTCCTGAACTTAAAACTAGGGCACTACAAGATGGTATATGTCATGTACTAAAATGTTCATGTGAATGTCCACAAGAAATGGAATCATGGTGTCATTCGTTCTTGACAATGAATATAGTGGTTCAATCTCTAGGACACAGAAGGCCAGGGTCCCGTTCCCCAAAATGATCTCAGCGCTAAGGTGATAGTAACTCCCATACTTCAACATAGACTTACGCCAGTCATAGCGCTACAATCAGTATGTGGAACGGGCTCCTGGGCCCCATTTCACAATGTGATCTTAGTGCTAAGGTGATTGTAACTCACATACTTCAACAAAGACTTACGCCAGTCGTAGAGCTATGATCAGTATGTGGAACGGGCTCCTGGGCCCCATTTCACAAAGTGATCTTAGCGCTAAGGTGATCGTAACTTCCATACTTCAACATAGACTTACGCCAGTCGTAGAGCTATGATCAGTATGTGGAACGGGCTCCTGGGCCCCATTTCACAAAGTGATCTTAGCGCTAAGGTGATCGTAACTTCCATACTTCAACATAGACTTACGCCAGTCGTAGAGCTATGATCAGTATGTGGAAGCGGGCTCCTGGGCCCCATTTCACAAAGTGATCTTAAGCTAAGGTGATCGTAACTTCCATACTTCAACATAGACTTACGCCAGTCGTAGAGCTATGATCAGTATGTGGAACGGGCTCCTGGGCCCCATTTCACAAAGTGATCTTAGCGCTAAGGTGATCGTAACTTCCATACTTCAACATAGACTTACGCCAGTCGTAGAGCTATGATCAGTATGTGGAACGGGCTCCTGGGTCCCATTTCACAAAGTGATCTTAGTGCTAAGGTGATCGTAACTTTCATACTTCAACATAGACTTACGCCAGTCGTAGAGCTATGATCAGTATGTGGAACGGGCTCCTGGGTCCCATTTCACAAAGTGATCTTAGTGCTAAGGTGATTGTAACTCACATACTTCAACAAAGACTTACGCCAGTCGTAGAGCTATGATCAGTATGTGGAACGGGCTCCTGGGCCCCATTTCACAAAGTGATCTTAGCGTTAAGGTGATCGTAACTATCATACTTCAACATAGACTTACGCCAGTCGTAGAGCTATGATCAGTATGTGGAACGGGCTCCTGGGCCCCATTTCACAAAGTGATCTTAGCGCTAAGGTGATCGTAACTTCCATACTTCAACATAGACTTACGCCAGTCGTAGAGCTATGATCAGTATGTGGAGCGGGCTCCTGGGTCCCATTTCACAAAGTGATCTTAGTGCTAAGGTGATCGTAACTTTCATACTTCAACATAGACTTACGCCAGTCAGTAGAGCTATGATCAGTATGTGGAGCGGGCTCCTGGGTCCCATTTCACAAAGTGATCTTAGTGCTAAGGTGATTGTAACTCACATACTTCAACAAAGACTTACGCCAGTCGTGTAGAGCTATGATCAGTATGTGGGCGGGCCCTGGGCCCCATTTCACAAAGTGATCTTAGCTTAAGGTGATCGTAACTATCATGCTTCAACATAGACTTCACGCCAGTCGTAGAGCTATGATCAGTATGTGGAACGGGCTCCTGGGCCCCATTTCACAAAGTGATCTTAGCTAAGGTGATCGTAACTTCCATACTTCAACATAGACTTACGCCAGTCGTGAGAGCTATGATCAGTATGTGGAACGGGCTCCTGGGCCCCATTTCACAAAGTGATCTTAGCTAAGGTGATCGTAACTTCCATACTTCAACATAGACTTACGCCAGTCGTAGAGCTATGATCAGTATGTGGAGCGGGCTCCTGGGCCCCATTTCACAAAGTGATCTTAGCTAAGGTGATCGTAACTTCCATACTTCAACATAGACTTCGCCAGTCGTAGAGCTATGATCAGTATGTGGAACGGGCTCCTGGGCCCCATTTCACAAAGTGATCTTAGCTAAGGTGATCGTAACTTCCATACTTCAACATAGACTTACGCCAGTCGTAGAGCTATGATCAGTATGTGGAACGGGCTCCTGGGCCCCATTTCACAAAGTGATCTTAGCTTAAGGTGATCGTAACTTCCATACTTCAACATAGACTTCACGCCAGTTGTAGAGCTATGATCAGTATGTGGAACGGGCTCCTGGGCCCCATTTCACAAAGTGATCTTAGCGCTAAGGTGATCGTAACTTCCATACTTCAACATTGACTTACGCCAGTCGTAGAGCTATGATCAGTATGTGGAACGGGCTCCTGGGCCCCATTTCACAAAGTGATCTTAGCGCTAAGGTGATCTTAACTATCATACTTCAACATAGACTTACGCCAGTCGTAGAGCTATGATCAGTATGTGGAACGGGCTCCTGGGCCCCATTTCACAAAGTGATCTTAAGCTAAGGTGATCGTAGAACTTCCATACTTCAACATAGACTTACGCCAGTCGTAGAGCTATGATCAGTATGTGGAACGGGCTCCTGGGCCCCATTTCACAAAGTGATCTTAGCTAAGGTGATCGTAACTTCCATACTTCAACATAGACTTACGCCAGTCAGAGCTATGATCAGTATGTGGAACGGGCTCCTGGGCCCCATTTCACAAAGTGATCTTAGCGCTAAGGTGATCGTAACTTCCATACTTCAACATAGACTTACGCCAGTCGTAGAGCTATGATCAGTATGTGGAACGGGCTCCTGGGTCCCATTTCACAAAGTGATCTTAGTGCTAAGGTGATCGTAACTTCCATACTTCAACATAGACTTACGCCAGTCGTAGAGCTATGATCAGTATGTGGAACGGGCTCCTGGGTCCCATTTCACAAAGTGATCTTAGTGCTAAGGTGGTCGTAACTTCCATACTTCAACATAGACTTACGCCAGTCGTAGAGCTATGATCACTTTGTTATAAGACTGCCATACTTTAACATGGATATTTGACCATCATTGCTCGGAGTTCACTTTGGGAAGTGGGTTAATTTCCCAAATTCCAATTTGGGAGCAAAATTACAAACCCATTTTAGGGGTCTACAGCCAGGATATGGATGGGGTATTGTACAAACAGCATTAACATAAAACTCACTCACTCATTCAACACTGTGTTGTTTTACTGTTAGAGATGCAATGGTATACCATTGTGCCTGGTGTACTGCAATATCTACCAGTTGTTTTCGATTCTGTTGTTATTTCGGTCCAGTCCGGTATATTAGCATTATGAATTGCATTATATTACAACGTACCTCTTGATTGGTCAGTTCATTAAGCTCAGCCAAACATTATTTTATTTACTATTAAGGCCAGACCAATTTTATTTCTTGTTATCGGATCCGCCAGTTATATTTTTTCAAGAATAACAAAAAAAATAAAATGAATTTTCCCCGCTCAAAAAATAAATCCTGTTTTAATTGGCCAAAAATGTAAACTTTCAAAAGAATTTTTTTAGATTGTTTTTTGCCCCATATACACTTCATAACTTGCAAAAAAGTAAAATACTTTGAGTAGTTAGAAGGAACATTACTTTGGTGATTTATTTTGGATTTTTTTCCCCCTCCTGCCTTTAGGTTTTCTGAAGACAAAAATCCGTAAAACAAGAAATAAAATTGGTCTGGCCTAATGCTATTTTAGTCAGGGATTTAATATATCATTTGATTAGTTTTGTTACAAAAAGTACATATGTGTTGGCCAAATTATTGTTTCTCTTGTTTCGAATGCACTTAGTGTAATGAATCGAAACATAGCAAACAGAGAGGTCTATACCATGATGCGTATCGTATCAAAACAATAGAGTATCGTTGCAGACCTATGTATTGTATATTTATTTGTTTATCGGCTATAACATCAGGATGTTAAAACATAATTACATTTACATTTAAAGCGTAATATATTACCACATGGACAAATAATCACAATTTCACAAAAATAGTAAGAAAACTTTGTGTCCCTCTCTGAAATAGACTGAAACTGCATGAAGCAAATCTACGACTCATAGCCTCATTAGTACTCATCATTACTTACCAGTACTCACAAGTATTCATTGATCAGTACTCATAGGTTGGTTGGTGTGTTGTTTAAGGCCACATTCAGCAATATTCCAGCTATATGGCAGCGGTCTGTAAATAATCGAGTCTGGACCAGACAATCCAGTGATCAACATCATGAGCATCAGTACTCAAGGCAGTAAATGGATGAGCGAGTGAGTGAGTGAGTTTAGTTTTACGCCACACTGTCAGTGAGAGTGTCCACCCGATCATGTTAGTTGCCTTTTACAAGCATGGGTTACTGAAGATCAATTCTAACCTGGACCTTCACTGGTAAGTAAATGGACGAGTTTAATCCCAAATATAAATATGTTTGTAGTGTGTGGATGGTATTGTGCTACTGGAAACATCATAAACCATGTTCAATCTCCTTGTAACATGTCCCCAAAAGGATAAATGACAAAAAAGAGAACTTGAAAGAATTTATTTTGCATCCAGTGACTATACCTTTTTTAACCATGTTTACAATAAAAAAAATTCAGAACGCAGATGGTTCTCTTTTTTAGTTCACTTCGACTACTTACAAAAGTTTTAAGAATAAAAATATCTATAAAACAATATATACATTAGTTACCTCTCGGCCCCTTTGGACAAAGCTATCGTAGCACTACAATAGTCGTACCTCCTATACTGTAACATAGACTTACGTCAGTCGCAGCACTACGATAGCTTGGTGAAACAGGGCCCAGGACATAACTAAATCTGTCTATATTTTTAGATGCCAACAGTTATTTCAAAGAATGAGTGAGCTCAATTTGAATGATATTTGTCCAGAATTCCAGATATATCGAGGCGTATCACCTTGTGTGAGAATTGTCATGAACAACAAAGCTAATGTCAAGTTTACCCCATTGGTGAAACCATTGAGCATTAGAATGTTACTTTTGCTGAGGCCATGGATCATAATCAAGTCAGATCAGCATATCCTTGCACTACTAGGGGAGGCAACTCTCCATAATGAACATTTGGTGTCATCGGCCACTGGAGGATATGGAGCTAATAACCATAGCAACATAAATGATACTAAATAACCAGCAGGTTTCTACCTATTGTCTACAACATCTAGTCTTTGTCAAGAACAGTAAAAAAGTATCTTGGTTCAAATAGTCTCAAATAAGAAATAAAATTTGTCTGTTTTTCATTAATATCATATCTTCATCAACATCATGAGTAAACATTGCACTTCATTGCTTTTGATGAGCAATACCTCTTACAAAATAGAAAGTACATCAGTTCATATAATAGTTCCACCAAAATCTGGGGTTTGTTTATACACCAGGGATTTACCTTGAGTCCTGTATTTGAGGGTCCCTGGGACTCATGCTTATAAGTTTCAGGGGTCCTGGACAACAAAATGGGGTTCCCAGACACTTAATTATTATTATTAATACTGTTATTGTATTGTGTATCATGATCATCACATTATTCGTTACAGTAATTGAATTGGAAATTGTACCATAATCCAGCTAGTAGCAAACTCTTTGACAACTTATTGTTTCTTGATTGGAATTTTTACAAAAGTATTTGGACTTTTCTGCGTCCCTGTGGATGCGCTAATAAATTTTGTTGCGCCCATCGTCAATTTTGTTGCGTATAGGACGCAGGAATTCACGTCCTGTAAATCCCTGATACACCTTTAGGACAGTTGAAAGAATATTCCAGCTTCTAATGACGTTTTCAAAACTGACTGGGTAGGTAAAGAATTAATAAGGAACTTTTTATTTTATCTTCTTTTATTAATTCTTTTTTTACAGATTCCAGTTTCACGTTTGGTCAATAGGTCAGTAATTTAAATACAAACATTTAATGCATTGCAAAGGATATTAAATCATTTTACAGTCTGATTTGGACCAGCAGAAGATAAAAATGTTTAAAATCTTTTTATAAATACAACAACTCTAATATCTGAGAGAAGCATTTCATTGTTCAAAAACAATTTGCAAGGCATTATATTACAAATCAATAAAAGGAATCCTCATTCTAATATACAATGCAGGATCTTGAGTCAAGCCCTTTACTGCCTGCAGTGAATAAAGGGAAGGTCCCTGAGGTCATGGTGACCTTAGTTACATGTACAAAAAGATGGAATTTGGTACAAAAATGAAATGCAAAGTGAAATAAATTCTCTCTTAACAAGGTATAGAAATAAAATATGACTGGGACAGTGGACATGTTATGGACAGGTCAGGAGAAAAAACTTTTATTGATAAAAGCCTGAATTATGTTTTTTAAATTTGGTCAACAACAATGGAAATGCCATGCTCTCCTATTCTGTGGTCCCTCCAGGTATAAGACACCATGATTCCACTCAAGATGATGGTTCTTTGGATTCGAACTTGCATTGATCAAACTGAAGTAGGTGTGTCTTCTAACAGTTCAACTCCATACATCACAGGAGTAGCGGCCTTTGGATTGTAATTTCTTGATGTAGTCGAGAGCACCCTCTTTGTCTTTCTTGCCCATCTCCGTGACGATCTTTTCCAGTAAACCATGGACCTCTCTCGCCATGTTCCTTGCATCTCTGACAGGAGAAAATAAAGTCAGGTGAGAGGAATTAACACAAACAATAATTTTAGGGGAAACAAAACAGAACTACAGTCCGTTTGAGTCAGAAACGGACTGATGAATTGCAAATTTTATCATTGTACAAAATTTCCACATAAATATAAATAGTACACATGTTTATCATTTACTAATACCCAACAGCTTTCTTATATTTGAAAATTTTCCCGACTCCACCAAAAAAGTTCTTTAAGAAACTATCATTAAAATTTTGACACAGTTCACTATTTGTTACGAGGGAGGAGTGCAGAAAAAGGGACAACTAGCCAGGTGTGCGTGAAAGGATGGAGAATCAATAACTTGGTGGGCACTTGTGCACGTGCTTCTCTAAACCTGGCTGTCCCTTTCTCTGCACTCCTCCCTCGTAACAAATAGTGAACTGTGTCAAAATTTTAATGATAGTTTCTTAAAGAACTTTTTTGGTGGAGTCCGGAAAATTTTCAAATATAAGAAAGCTGGGTATTAGTAAATGATAACCATGTGTACTATTTATATTTATGTGGCAATTTTGTACAATGATAAAATTTGCAATTCATCAGTCCGTTTCTGACTCAAACGGACTATACAAAGCTCTGCAGCTAATGTGAATTTTCCTGGATATTTTGCAGCAACGGATCATAAAAAGACAGCATATTTGAATAGCTAGAGTTATCAAGTGATGTGTACTGACAGGAGGGAGAAATGGATGCTGTGTTGAGTGTAGATATATGGGTTCACTTCTATATAAACGTTCCAGTCTGGCTAAAAGCTCAAACAACCAAATAAACAGGTTTTATTTGTGAATTAATCATTTAAATGTGAGGTCTCTGAGAGGGCAAAATACTTTTTTTAAAAACAGAAAATAGGTGAAAAGTTGGTAGCTGAAACTCCAAAGCCTTCACTGTATACACGTCACTTAGGCTGTGTACTTATACCCACACATACATGTAATGACCACGCAGATATGTGATTATCAAACACACATGCCCAAATCGATGCTCATGCTGTTGATCACTGGATTGTCTGGTCCAGACTCGATTATTTACAGACCGCCGCCATATAGCTGAAATATTGCTGAGTGTGGCATAAAACTAAACTCACTCACTCACTCACCAAACACACATGTGTCTGCACACATAAGCATGCCTATCGGACCTACACGTGACAGCCAAACATGGACGTGACTATCACACATACACGTGACTCAAACACACACATGTGACTACCACACCCACATCTGACTATAACACACATGTGACTCCAACACACACAAGCGTGATACACACAAGACTCCCAGACATACACAACTTCGAACTCACCCGCACACATACACGTGACCTCCATTCTCTAAGAGCTCCCAGAACTCTGCCATGTTCTGCTCTATAAGGTTCTGGACGTAGACTTTCTTCTCCTGGTCCCGGGAGAATGCCGTGTAGATCTTGGTCAGGCTTCCCTTGACCTTGTAGTCCATCATCTCCTCCTCATAGATGAAGTCTTGGGCCTGATGGCGGCAACCGAAATACAAGATGGTCTGCCCAACAGGCTTGCCTGCAACACCAGAAAACATCCAATGTTCAAAATATATTCATAACATCCATAGAAAAAAACATGCCCACTGTATTGGGCACATATGACATTTTCATCCAGTGCAAACATTCAGTCAAAGTGCTTCTCACTACTATCACCAGTTCAGAGTTACTTGCCCTTGATCTTCATCCCGTGTGCCTCAACAATTTAAACCAGAAGAGAGATCAGGGGCAAGTAACTCCAAAATGGTGAGCATAGCCTGAGGTGTGTTCCAGTTAGGGTTTTCACTCTGCATTAAGAGTATCAGAGATAATGAATAAAATCCACACTGTCTCATACAATATAGTACTTTTCCCAAGATGGCTGGCATGGCTGCCATGTTTAAAGTTCGATCAGAATTCTGCAGGCACATTTTAGTGACAGTCCATGAGCTTCAGAAACCCTGATGTTTCAAGACAGATGTAAATATTTTCAACAGAACCACAAACAGATGGATGAAAAGAAACCTGAAAATTCATGAGACATAGAAGTCAGTGATGCTCCACAATTCCTGAGAACTAAGATTCTTCATGCACACAGCCATCCAATGACAACTCACCCTCGTCCTTCAAGAAGTTCCTCTCCTGTACAAATCCTCGGAATGGAGCGACTCCAGTTCCTGGTCCGATCATGATGACAGGCGTGCTGGGCTTGAAGGGGAGTCGGAATTGGGACTTCCGGACATAGACGGGGACAGTGGGTTTGAGGGACTCAGTGGGGTGCTTCTGAGCCAGCCAGCTTGTTGCCACGCCCTTTGTCAAGCGCCCTGCCCTGGTGGTGTAGTCTACTAGTACAGCAGTGATGTGTATACTCTGTGGGTGAACCTGGGACAGACAGATGATAGGTATATACTTGGCCATGGTAAAATAGTAAAGGAAGCCATCAAGCACTACCTGAAGACTGGAAGACTGCATGTAACACATGATCAAAATATGTGACTACTAAATTCTGTCTTCTCACTTTAGGAGGTAACAACTGAATTTGCTTCTCTCGTTGAGCAAGATGAAGGTGATTCAAAGCCTTCCTGCCTTACCTTCAATGACCTGACTCCCCTCCATTAAATTTTCATTTTAAAAGGATAAAACAGACTTTTCAATTTTAATTTTCCATCATACTGGTTCCTGGATAAATGTCAGACTTCTTGCCTAATCAAAGATTTTCAAGAGTGGCAATTACTGGACATGATCTGATGTACAATTGTCTCTGTTCACCCAGCAGTGAATGGGTACCCGGTGGGATAAGATGGCCATATGACTGTTAACCTTCCAGTGCCTCATAGGGTTAACCAGGGTAATAATATCTGTGCTATGCGCATAATTTGTCTGTAGTGAAAGCATCTTTGAGGTGGATGTTAGACGCTCTACATGTATTATATTGTATGTATGTTGGTCTGTTCAGCTTCCTGTACTCGGAAAAGAGGCAGCTGAGATGGTCATTTGTATATTTTGATTGCTTCTTTAAGGCCACACTATCCAAATATATCACACTTCAAGACTGCCGACTTCGTTTATGTTAGGGCGCGCAAGGACACTCTGTAAAATGTGTGTGTAAACATGCTGACAGGTGCTCAGCCATCCGTATATATGAGAATAAAATCCATATAATTTAGCGTTTTGTACATGAAAATGACCCTCCGGTTACGGAAACTGGATTTCCGGATAAGTGAGTAATTTTACAACATTGTGAATTCGTTTTGAGGAATTTTCGTTCGGAAGGCGAGTTTTCCGGATATCTGAGGTTCGGATAAACGGGGCACAGCTGTACATGTAATAGCTGTTGATGACTTAGTCAATTTTGAATATAGATAACGTTACTGATAGGACAATGGGGAAATATTTGGTCAGAGTAACCTCAAGTTTGTGTGTACAGATTTCTGGATTTAGTTGCAGTCATGAAAGAAATCACAAGACTGGCCTGTACAGAATCCATGTGAGTGAGTGAGTTTCAGCAATATTCCAGCAATATCACGACAAGGGGCAACAGAAATGGGCTCCACACATTGTAACCGTCTGGGGAATCAAACCCGGGTCTTCAGCGTGACAAGCAAACACTTTACCAATGAGGCTACCCCACCATCCCTGACATTCTAAGTGTGACATTTAGTGTGACGTCACTTCCTTGTCAAAGACTGATCATGGTCACGCTTGAAGTTACCATAGTGAAAGTCCAGTCATGTGACAATAACAGTTCCTAAATCACATCCACCCACAGCTACGTTTTCTTCCTCACAGACTGCACGTGCTTTTTACCTTTGGTGAAGATGAGATGGAGTAGAAACGGGATTGTAACCGTGGCAACAGTTCACATATGTGGTCTATGGGAGGCTTGAGGGACGGTAGATCTTCCAAGATGGCCAATATAGACCGATGGTCCTTCTGGACCCAGTCGCTGTAGAGTGCCTGGAACAAGAACAAGGAAATGTAGAATCCACTTGTTGACCTTGGTCGTCACATTGGTGCCTACTGGGGTTCTTGGTAGTATTTCAGGGATAAATTGTATCAAAATGAGGGACCACAGTTTAAACAGTGCCAACAGCAAGTAAAAAATATTCCTTTTGAATTGAAACTTAGTGATTGAAGTAAGTAAATTTGACACAGAATGTCTGAATATACTTTACATCAGAACATAAGCATCAGATAGATCTCAATACATGCTTTATTTAACAGACTTCAGGGATGGCAATTTTCCGCATATCTGCGGATTTCCACCAATTTTCCTCAAATTGATCAATTGAAACCCCTCATTTGATGACACAATATTAAATTTTCAAAACTTTATGTAAAAACTTTCATGTGAAAACATAGTCATGAAAAACAAGGCAGTCATTTTCCAAAATTTTCTAAGCAGACAACTCTTACCTATCCTTTGAAAAAGGGCATTATTTAACCATACAAATCAGTACAACACGATACAAGCACATCCACTGCTTCATTATTACCTTGCCTTCTGATGTAGGTGCTAACATCTTCTGCAAGAATTCCTTATCTTTCTCATCTTCTGCGTATTCGGAGAGCTCACGAAGGACGTGAGTGCGAGGGGGGCTGATGATATCCAGGTAGTGGGACAAGGCAGTACGGTACGTGCAGGGGCAGGGGAAGGGGTGCTTCTTACTCGCCTCCTCTGAAACACACAAGTAAGTTGGGGTAATGCACTCTCCTACCCATTCGTCACATCTTGCAATGTCCATTCAATATAATGTACAGATTTCTTTACTCTTTTATTTTTGATTAGTCTACACACCTAACTAAACATCTTTAATAGAATGGTTTAGTTTCACTGAGAAAATATCCAAAAAACATGTAACACTATTTCGATTTGCGTAGCGATCCTTTGTTTACATAGGTTGTACGGCTCCACGTGCAGTCATCGAAGCTGACGGAGAGCAAACGATGCAGCCAGTTTGATATTTAAATATGTACTGTCATAGACCTAACTGTCGCAGTTGTGGAAGAATATATATGTAACAATGTAAAACATTATGAAGAGAGCGCAGAAAAGCTTTCGTGAGTCCAGTCTCTTCTTATTATGAATATGCGCGTTTGATTACAAACAAGAGAAAAGTCCAGTCACATGATATGCAAATTAGCCTGTGGCAGTGATGTTATATTAAGTCATCGTTGTGCCGGAGTGTGGGGGTAATGGTCATAGAAGGAGACGTACAGAAAGCGTACACTCAGCAGTACTGCAATGAAATGATAGGGTTCTGTATGTATTTAAATCTGGACCATATTGTCTAATGATTGACATCACGAACATCAGTCTACACTATTGGGTTGCTATGGTAATATATACCATGTTGCTGAACCTGACAATCTGATCCCATCAGCAACATCTTACAACAAGTATGGCTTCTGAAGATGAATCTCCACCATGTAGTGAGAGAGAGATAGCTTGACCAGCCTTGAACTGTATCTCAGTCATACATGGGCTGGATATGGGAAGACAGACTGCAGTACTTCACCACCATAGCAAAACCCAACCAACAGCATAAGCATCGATCTATACAACTGGGATACGATGACAGAGCTCCAGATAAGATTTAGCTCATGTGGGTACTGTACCCACTGTATTTTTTTGGTGTGGTTATTATGAATGTTGAGTGGGTATTTCATTTTCCGTTACCCACTGCTTTCAAATATGTGCGTAATTCAGTCATTTTACTAAGCAGGTATGTTCTGCCTTATGTCATACCTAATCAAAACCAAGTTAAATATAATGGAACTGATTTCATAAAAAATCACTCATCCTATACTGACAGTACAACACTAGTCCTATACTAACAGACAACACTTGTCCTATACTAACAGTACAACTTGATAGCAATCGATGTCTTTGTCATTACGCAAGCGATGTTTATAAATATATTCCATAGGCATTTGTTTTAAACTTTTTGCGTATCTAACATTTTAAATGCGTAATTGGTACGCAACAATTATTTTTCAATGCGTAATTGGAAATTTTCTATGCATATTTTACCCGGATACGCAGCTTATCTGGGCCTCTGCAATGACATATGTCAACCAAGTCTGATCACCCGATCCCGTTAGTCGCCTCTTAATACAAGCATGGGTTACTGAAGACCAATTCTAACCCAGATCTTCACTGGTCCAATGCAAGGAAACCCGACCAGGATGTGTACTGAAGCACGATGGCGTGAGACATCAGAGATTGGTCTCTCTTACAAATACCACAACCATGCTATATCGTTGCAGTCTGATACAAGCGTTACCTTACCATCAACATTTGTGAGAGTGAAGACTTGATCCAAATCAACATTCAACCTCTTGCCGATAGCTTCCACCAGTTGAGGGTCATTGATTGGATACACGGCAACGTGGTCTCCAGCCTCGTACCTACAAGGAAGATGGTGGACATTGCACACTGCTCTACTGAACAAGGGAGACTACTCTCAATCATTTTGGGGAAAGGGAGAATTTGTTTGCTTGACATTCACACAGCATAGTTTAAGTTAGGTTCTGCTTACACAGAATCTGGTCGAACAAATATTTTTAAACAAGTGAGTAGGCATTAAACAATATTTTGGTTTACTTCAATTGTCTTTTGTATTTACAAAGGTTGCCCCTTTAAGATGTATATTAGCCTTTAACAAACCTTCATGTGACCTCTCCCTGTCATGTCAAAACTTCCACATGTATAATTTCCAGTAAATGAAGTGAGTGAGGCTTAACACCACTTTTAGCAATATTCCAGCAATATCACATCGGGAAATACCAGAAATGGGTTTCACACATTATGCCCATGTGGGGAATCGAACACGGGTCTTCGGCATGACGAACGACGCCTTAACCACTAGGCTACCCCACGCCCCTCTAGTAAATAGAATATTAACTGCATGTGATATCTCCGTATTAAGATTAGCCAAGTATACAAGCCTTACAGCAGACAAAATATATGATAAGAAAAGTATCAAATTGATGTGATCATTACACAGGAATCACACCAGTTTTTGCCACAATGTCTGATTTGAATTTGTACATTACAGTCAGTTAGACTATGTGGGTACTAAAGCTGAAAAGGCCACACTGGTTGTGATACTACTGCTTCAATTTCAACTTAACTTTGATTTTTGCTGTTATTTTCAAATGAAGGATGGTGCAAAAGAAGTGGTTGTGGTCATTAAGTTTGCATGTTGTGGTGGTGTGTGGTCTTGTGCATAGAGCACTGGTCACAAATCAGGGGAAGTTAAGCAATGCTGGTCACGGGGAGTCCTTAGATGGGTGACCGTGTTTGGCAGCTTGACTCCTGAGAGTTTTTAGGACATCATTCCTGCCCCTCAACAAAGCACAAATGTGGTCTCACCTTAGGCAAGTGAGTCAAACTTGCCTCTGTTCACCCAGCAGAAAATGGGTACCCGGTGGGATAAGTAATATGATTATTAACCTTCTAGCGCGCCTCACAGGCCGCTTGGGTTATCCAGGGTAATAATGTCGACATGTTGTATGCACTTAGAGCATATTCAGCGCTATACAAGTGGCCAATTATTATTATTATTGTGGAGGTCCAGATATATCCCTCTATGGGTGTGTGTTCAGTGCTATATAAGTGGCCAAATTATTACTTTGTTGTCTAAACTAAAATTAAGCCTGACCTGATCCTGGATCCAGTGATGTCAATTTCAATGTGCATACAAGACCGTCCTCCGCCCTTGTGGAGCTCCCGGTTGACTGTGATTGGGGCTAGGAATGGATTCTTGGCATCAAAAGGCCTGGAACAAACACAATCTCAAACTTAAACTGTATCATGGAAGGGGAATAACTCTTGCATCTTGAAGATAGTCAATGCAGACAGACATCTGCCAGTGTTCAAATTAGTCTAGATATAGAACAGTTAAGTTGCAGTGGAAATAGGAACAGTATGATTTTACAATTGAGTGAGCGAGTGAGTTTGGTTTTTTACGTCGCTTTTAGCAATATTTCAGCAATATCACGGCGGGGGACACCAGAAATGAGCTTCACACAATGTACCCATGTGGGGATTCGAAGCCGGGTCTTCGGCGTGACGAGCAAACGCTTTAACCACTAGGCTACCCCACCGCCCCGATTTTACAATTGACTGACTGATGGTGCTATTACTGATCTTAATGGTTGGTTGGTGGATTGTTTTGTTATTTAACACCTGCACCCAGCAATATTCCAGCTGTATGGAGGAGGTCTGTAAATAATCGAGTCTGGACTAGATAATCCGGTGATCAAAAGCATGAGCATCGATATAGGCAATTGGGATACGTTGACATGTGTCAACCAAGTCGGCAAGCCTGACCACCCATGGTTACTGAACAACAAGCATAGGTTACTGAAGATCAATTCTAACCCGGACCTTGTCGGGTCTCTTGTATCTGGAAGATAGACAGAGCAAAACAGCCATCTGCCAGAGTGTTCACTATTCTACAATTCGATTGGCTGATGGTGCTAATACTGATTTTAACAATAATTCTGAATTAAATGAGGGAAGAAAACCCAAGATTGACACTTACGGTTTCTGCAGATTAAAGGAATTCAGTCTGGTAATTTCTCCCGTGAAGATCTTCTCTTTAGGCAGATCTTCATGTTCCTTCAATGCGTACTGACGAATACTGTGAAACACAACAAATATCATCATATTAACATGAATTATCGGTGGTTTTGATTATACAGTATAATGAAGTTAACACAACACATATGAAGATTTAGCAAGGTAAAGACAGTGAATCAGGTGAATGAGGACTTTATTGCTTATTTTTGTTTAACACCGCACTCAGCAGTATTCCAGCTATATGGCGGCGGTCTGTAAATAATCAAGCCTGGACTAGACAATCCAGTGATCAACATCATCAGCATCGATCTACACAATTGGGACCAAAAGACATGTGTCAACCAAGTCAGCAAGCATGACCACCCAATCCTGTTAGTCACCTCTTACAACAAGTATGGGTTACTGAAGACCGATTCTAACCAGGACATTAGGCTCCAGAGTGTTGTGAGTGTTTAGGGGTGCTTTCCTACTAAGTCTAAATGACATCAGACCTTCTTCAGCAGGAATAATTGCCATGCAATCCTCATTCTCACTCTCATCGGAGCTATACATGTGTCACTCAATCCTCATTCTCACTCACCTCGGAGCTATACATGTGTCACTCAATCCTCATTCTCACTCACCTCGGAGCTATACATGTCACTCAATCCTCATTCTCACTCACCTCGGAGCTAAACATGTGTCACACAATCCTCATTCTCACTCATCTCGGAGCTATACATGTGTCACTCAATCCTCATTCTCACTCACCTCGGAGCTATACATGTCACTCAATCCTCATTCTCACTCACCTCGGAGCTATACATGTGTCACTCAATCCTCATTCTCACTCACCTCGGAGCTATACATGTCACTCAATCCTCATTCTCACTCACCTCGGAGCTAAACATGTGTCACTCAATCCTCATTCTCACTCACCTCGGAGCTATACATGTGTCACACAATCCTCATTCTCACCTCGGAGCTATACATGTGTCACTCAATCCTCATTCTCACTCACCTCGGAGCTATACATGTGTCACTCAATCCTCATTCTCACTCACCTCGGAGCTATACATGTGTCACTCAATCCTCATTCTCACTCACCTCGGAGCTATACATGTGTCACACAATCCTCATTCTCACTCACCTCGGAGCTATACATGTGTCACTCAATCCTCATTCTCACTCACCTCGGAGCTATACATGTGTCACTCAATCCTCATTCTCACTCACCTCGGAGCTATACATGTGTCACTCAATCCTCATTCTCACTCACCTCGGAGCTATACATGTGTCACTCAATCCTCATTCTCACTCACCTCGGAGCTATACATGTGTCACTCAATCCTCATTCTCACTCACCTCGGAGCTATACATGTGTCACTCAATCCTCATTCTCACTCACCTCGGAGCTATACATGTGTCACACAATCCTCATTCTCACCTCGGAGCTATACATGTGTCACTCAATCCTCATTCTCACTCACCTCGGAGCTATACATGTGTCACACAATCCTCATTCTCACTCACCTCGGAGCTATACATGTGTCACTCAATCCTCATTCTCTTTTATTCACCTCGGAGCTATACATGTGTCACACAATCCTCATTCTCACTCACCTAGGAGCTATACATGTGTCACTCAATCCTCATTCTCACTCACCTCGGAGCTATACATGTGTCACTCAATCCTCATTCTCACTCACCTCGGAGCTATACATGTGTCACTCAATCCTCATTCTCACTCACCTAGGAGCTATACATGTGTCACACAATCCTCATTCTCACTCACCTCGGAGCTATACATGTGTCACACAATCCTCATTCTCACTCACCTAGGAGCTATACATGTGTCACTCAATCCTCATTCTCACTCACCTCGGAGCTATACATGTGTCAGTCAATCCTCATTCTCACTCACCTAGGAGCTATATATGTGTCATCCAATCATCATTCTCACTCACCTAGGAGCTATACATGTGTCACTCAATCCTCATTCTCACTCACCTCGGAGCTATACATGTGTCACTCAATCCTCATTCTCACTCACCTCGGAGCTATACATGTGTCACTCAATCCTCATTCTCACCACAGCTCAAAGCTGACCAAGGTTCACATATTCAAAGTCTGGTCCATATTCAACCACCATTGAGTCCACACAATTCCCATTTCACATTCAATGACAAATCAAGCAACTACCTTATGTTCTCTTTAAGAAAACCGTCAAACTGCAGAAATGGGCTTGTCAAACTGCAACAATGAGTTTAGAATCAAGTTATACCACCAGTTTTATAAATGTTTACTTCCAACGAACCTGACATCGTCTCCTGTAGGCTGCACACCGAAGTGTTCACACACAGCTGGCCAAAACTTCTCCCGCCATGTTACAAAGTCTTCCTCAATGCTGTCAACAAGAAGTCAACTGTATAAAGCTTTTGACCAGACACATACAATAATATACACAAATAATTAAGATTGGTAATTTGGGGGACAAAGAGACTTTTTGTCTGAATAATTTAAAGAAAACATATCTATTGTTCAGTTGTGTTGTTGGTTTGTTGTTAAACACCGCACTCGGCAATATTCCAGCTATATGGCAAAGGTTTGTATATAATCGAGTCTGGACCAGACAATCCAGTGATTAACAGCATGAGCATCGATCTACACAACCGGGATATCATAACATGTGTCAACCAAGTCAGCGAGCCTGACCACCTGATCCCATTAGTTGCCTCTTACAACAAGCATGGGATGCTGAAGACCAATTCTAACCCGGATCTTCAGTGTCAATGGTTGATTTCACTTTTATGAAGATTAATGTATCAGCAAAATTAGGCCTATCAAATGAATCACTGTGTGTCTGCGTGTCTGTATATGAGTCTATGTGTCTGTGAGTACCCACACAGTAACATTCCTGCAAACTCACAGCAGCAAGTACATTATCAAGTCTTGTTAAGGTTGGTTTTTTTTGTCGCTTTTACACCACACTCAGCAATATTCCAGCTATATGGCGGCGGTCTGTAAATTAACCAGACAATCCAGTGATCAACATTATGAGCATTGTTCCACAAGATATACATGTGATTGATACTGTTGGCGGCATTACATGCCATCAGTGTGATGACGTACAATCAACCAAGCCACTGAGTCTAGCCACCCAATCCACTAAGTCACTTTTCGCCAGTATAGGTTGTGGGACCAGAGACCCCATGTGGTCTGAACTCCCTCCATGAGCACCTTACTTGTTACTATAGAAGTTGTTATCCATAAAGTTTGTCTATATTGTACTTCCCAGCATCTAAAACACCACTCAAAGAAGCAACTTACTTGGCATCATCATCCCCCCTCTCCATGTTCGAAGATCCGGATCCCCCCGAGTTCCTCCAGTCGGGTGTCCACATAGCGCCCCATGGCATTGTAGTGCTCATACGTCTTGTTCCCCAGAGCAAACACCTGAAACATAGAAAGTAACATCACTGACTGGGACAGTTTACTGTGGACATAATTATTGCAACACTATCATTCATTAGAAGTGCTAACACTGACTGACTGACTTTTTTTACGCCGCTTTTAGCAATATTCCAGTAACATCACGGCGGGGGACACCAGCAATGGGCTTCACACATTGTACCTATGTGGGGATTCGAACCCGGGGTCTTTGGCGTAACGAGCCAACACTTTAACCACAAGGCTACCCCACCGACCCAGAACTGCTAATAAAATGGCCGCATAAACCGCATCCCTGTGCTGCTCTGTATATGTAGGGATGAAATAGTACACTCTTACCTCGGTACGGTACATATTGCAGTACAAGGCCTTTGATTCAGTATATGAGATATAAGAAATTAATCAATTCTGTTGAGCAGTTTTTGTGGAGAAGTGGATAGACTTAATCCCCTATTTCACTATCATCAGAGAGAAATTTAACAACATTTATCTAAGTTCAAATGTCTCTAAACATACAAAAAACTATAAAATACAAAAACAAAATATGAGATGCACACCTTTAGAGTCTCTATAAAAGACCTATGTAAGCTAAATGAGTTTTGTGCAGTGTTTTTTGAGGAGAAGTGGATAAAGTACACCCTCTGTTGTATGGGACGAACAGGCTGAATAGAACCAAATTCAACTAAGTTCAAACATCTGTAAAAGTGACAAAATTAAGAAATTGCATAAAAAAATTATGAAATGCACACCTTTAGAGTCCCTACGAAAGACATGTAGAAGTTCATTCAATTCTGTTGAGCAGTTTTTGTGGAGAAGTGGATAGACTTCATCCCCTATTACACTATCATCATAGAGAAATTCAGCAAAATGTACCTAAGTTCAAATGTCTCTAAACTTACAAAAACACAATAACATACAAAAAACAAAACATGAGATGCACACCATTAGAGTCCCAAGAAAGCCCATGTATAAGTTCATTGAATTCCACCGAGCGTTTTTTGTGGAGAAGTGGATAGAGTACATTCCCTGTTTCATACGGACAGACAGATGGGCAGACGGACGGACGGACACGGAGGGTAACCCTATATGCCCCCTGCCATATATAGCGGGGGCAAAAAAGAAAGAAAACTAACAACTAAACATTCATATGGATCAGAAGTATAGCTAAAAGCGATCGTACATTTCCTTGAGAATCTGACCTTGGTGCAGTTGACCTTGTATACTCACAGCGTATTTGATGCCCTGGAGCTCTGCATCACCACTCTGCAGCCAGTCATAGAACTCCTGTGCGTTGTCTGTGGGATCACCTTCGCCATAAGTTGCCATGCAGAATATGGCCATTGAGTTGTCGATCTCACCCAGTCTGGTCAAGTCTTCCTGAAAGTGTTTGGGTGCAAAACTGAATTCAACATTGCATATGTTTCTAATTATCTGTTTCACAATATGTTAGTTTAAAGTGTCTGAACTACTGAATACACCTGAATACTCAGTACAGATAACTTCTTTGAGTGGCATTGTTTAGAAGTTGGAGAGTACTATACAGACAAACTTTATGGATAAACATGAGCTCATCGTACGCAACAACCCCAATCATCAAATCAACAGGACAGAGTACACAATACTGGCAACCAACCAACCTGACTTCACCAAACGAAAATTAACCGAAGCCATCAGTAGACAGATGCTCAGTAGACAGTGGCAATGTTGGATCACTTGTATTGCTAGACTTGAGTGCAGCATTCGACACGATTGATCACAGCATCCTCCTCAAGCTTCTTGAACACCAAATGGGCATCACCGGTTTGGCATTGGGATGGTTTTCATCATATCTGACAGGACGCACTCAAAGAGTCTTGATAAAGCAGTCTTCATCCACAACAGCAGATCTCACATGTGGAGTTCCGCAGGGATCTGTTCTGGGGCCCATCCTCTTCCTCCTTTACATGACATCCTTGACCGACATTTCCGACAAGTATGACACTCCTCATCATTCGTTTGCTGACGATACTCAGCTGGTAGACTTTTTTGCTCTGGATCAGATTCAACATTCCCTAGAGAAGACAGCTATCTGCACGAAGTCCATCAAATCTTGGATGTCATCTATGATGCTCAAAATGAACGATGATAAGACTGAAGCTATGCTTGTCGGCAATAAACATCGTCTGAACAAAATCACGACTGAGAAAAGTCGATGCAGAAATTACTCTAGCTTCATCCGTGAAAGATCTTGGAGTGTTCATAGACCAGGACCTATCACTTGATGCTCAGATCAACCATCTTTCAAGAATCTGCTTCTTCCACCTGAGAGCTATCAGTAAAATTCTCATAATTTAACAACAGATGCAGCCCATACTCTCGTCAGGTCCCTCGTTCTATCTAGACTAGACTATTCAAACAGCATTCTGTTTGGACTCAGCTCTGCACACTTGACAAAACTCCAGAAAGTCCAAAACGTTGCAGCCCGCATTGTATCCCTAACATCTAAAAGATCTCACATAACCCCTGTCCTAAAGTCTCTTCACTGGTTGCCCATCCAAGCCAGAATCGAATTCAAGATCTTGACCATTGTGTTCCAATGTCTACATGACCTAGCGCCTCAGTACCTCTCTGAACTCATCTCAGTGTACACACCGCCGCGACAGCTGAGATCACACCAACAGTTCCTCCTAACAACACCCCCCTGTCAATCTCAAGAACTATGGTCACAGATCATTCAGCTATGCTGCTCCTTCACTGTGGAACAGTCTTCCCATGACCATCAAAACAGCAAAATCTCTTGACTTATTCAAATCTTCATTGAAGACCCATCTTTTCAGGAAATATTACGAATGACTTGTACAATTGCTGCAGTTTTTTAGCTGTACACACGGGGCGCCATGAGCATACACTAGTGTGTGGAAACAGCGCCATACAAATGGACATTATTATTATTATTATATTATCCACATCAAACGACACCGACCCCTGATCAATAGAGACCAAGGTTACTTCATCCCCTCTGTGTACGATGAGCTCATCAACCAACCTTAACTGGTTGTATTACTTGTACAAACACCCGTAAACCCCATTGGCTTCTACATGTATCATTTGTCACTGGCTTCTACATATAATCCCTTGTCATCACATTGTTACTGTACATCCCATTTCACGTCCTTGGTTGTTTTAGTTAATCATTTACTCTATATATAGTCCCCTGTTATCTACCTTACTCATACTTGCTTGACAATGATACAAGAATCTGTATCGAAACGTTGCATCTACCGAATAAAGGAATTGTTTATCCATAAAGTTTGTCTATATACTAAGTGCAGCTGTTGGGGAAAATATTGTCAGCACAGGTATATCTGTATACAGATAAACTGCAGGTACCTGAACAGCACATTACCCAATTTATTACCCATATGGTGAAGCATAAACAGTGTCGTATATATCACTGTGCACATATTACTTTTGCTTAGCAGCCCTTGTGTCTGTATTTCTTCGTCTGTGACATCATTAAACAATTGAACGTGACGTCAATGAACTGGGCAGTCAGTCACACTTGCTTACCGTGTTTTACTACACAAATGTACATGAATAAAATAGATAATAAAGAAACTATTACACAGGGTAGGTGAGGTGAGGTGAAATTGGGTTTTACGTCGTGCTTGAGAATATTTCGCTCATATGACGACGTGCATGCGTGTGTATGTGTATGTGCGGCTGCTTGTACTAGCCCAGACTGAAGCTGGTTTTATAGTGCTAGCCCACTGAGATACCCTGCCACAGTGAAGCATGAATACCCCACTCAGACACATTATACTGACTCCGAGCCGACCAGTCCTTGTTGTACCAATTAATGCCGAGCGCCAGGCAGGGACCAACAAGTACCATATTTTAACGTCTTTTGGTATGACGTGGTCAGGGATGGAACCCGCGACCTTATGCTCTCCGGGCGGACGCTCTAACCACTACACCACGGAGGCGGTCACACGGGGTAGGGATCAAATGTGTCTTTACAATCTTTATTTATTGACCAAATGCCGGCATCATGTACGCATGAACTCTACTACAGTGAATAATGAAAACAGTGCTATATTTGGCTATTATAACTAAGATATGTATCAAAGTCACATAATTATGAGCATTTAATATACGACATGCTCTTGTCATTTCAAGTACAGATGTACACTGGAAGTGTTCAGAAATAAGACTTTTAGGAGGTTGCTGCTATCAACCAGTTTGTGTTAAACCCACATCAACTGTCTGGTCGTACACTCAGAGTATTATGCAATAAGAGTTTCTTGTGACCATATTATGAAAATGCCATCTTGAATTGCCTTCAGGCTCGGTTATAGCATAAATTTGAATCTGAATATTGTATTAATGTTATACAATACATATTTCATAAATACACTGAAAAAGAAAGAAGAAACAGTCTAAGAGAGGTTACGTACCATCTCGCACTCCTCTGGGTCTGCTACCATGCCCTTCATCCCGTACCGACTAGCATCCTTGGCCAGGCGGTTGGCAAACTCCTCACCCGTGCCAGTTTGAGAGCCGTAAAATACCACCACATTTCGGTTCTGAAACATGATAACGAATCTAAGACCAAGTCTCATTTCTAACATAAGACCAGACCAATCTTATTTCTTGTTTTACGGATCCGCCTGTCATATTTTTTCAAGAATAAGAAAAAAAATAAAAAATTATTTTCCCCGCTCAAAAAATAAAATACTCATGTTTTTTAGATTGTTTTTTGCCCCATATACACTTCATAAATTGCCCAAAGTAAAATACTTTGACTATTTAGAAGGAACAATACTTTGACTGGTGATTAGGTTTTCTAAGGACAAAAATCCATAAAACAAGAAATAAAATTGGTCTGGTCTAAGTTAAAAGTTTCTTCACGGGTAGAACATTTAGTTTTGAATGAGTGAGTTTTAGTATTTAGTTACTTTTAGCAATATACCAGCAACATCACAGCAGGGAACACCAGAAATGGGCTTTACACATTGTACCCATGTGGGGAATCGAACCTAGGTGTTCAACGCAAACAATTTAACTGTTAGGCTACCCCATCACCCCTTGAAGAATCTAGTTTCTATTCTCAATAGCATTATCTATGGTTTTAATGTTTTTAAGCCCATTTCTCATCACCGCTGAATACATTGATCTGCAATGCAGGGTATAAATAATCCACATAGTAAACTATGGTTATAATTAACTCAAAGGGACCACTAATTGAAATTTGTTACAACGGTAGTACATTATCATGGTTTAACACATTTTGACAGAAATGTGTCATTATATTCATCAGTTTGTTTAAGCACGTTTGTTATTGACATAGCATACTGTAATATGTTTAAGTTATACAAATAGGTGGTGTATAACTCAAGAAAGTCAAATGAGCTTAACACTATTCAAATGTCACAGGGGCGGTGGGGTAGCCTAATGGTTAAAGCGTTGGCTCATCACGCCGAAGACCCGGGTTTGAATCCCCACATGGGTACAATGTGTGAAGCCCATTTCTGGTTCCCCCTGCTGTGATGTTGCTGGAATATTGCTAAAAGTGGCGTAAAACCAAACTCAGTCAGTCAGTCAAATGTCACAACACGATGAGGTCACAATACAATTGTAATGCATCCCGAAAATATCCCGTGATACAATTTGTATCCTGATACAGTAGTGTTTATTCTCTAGCTTTTTGTGGGTGAACCAGGATTAAATTTGACATCACAAAGGTGGCTACTGTAGGTGGCAACACATACCTAAGTTCAGTACACCACAATATGCCATGCAGTATTGTTTGGTGACCGTACAATGGCCTGACACCTAGGGGAAACAGTGCACGAGTAATAATAGAGTATTCCTCTCCAAAATGAGGTCATGATTTCATTCCGGTTCAGGGACAATCTACAACCATAATGTGATCTGATCCGATACCTTCTTCATGGTCTGATATGTATCATGACACTGCATATGTCTTCTTTTTCATAGACAAATGACCAAATACCTACACTGACAATTTATAGTTGGCAGGCTCTTTCAGTGAGTGAGTTTTGTGTTACAATGCTTTCAGAAATATTCCCGCAATATCATGGCAGGATAGGGCTGCGCAATATAACCGGTTTACCGGTATTTACCGGTTCAGACATGAAAACGATACGTATTACGATATGCTGAACGAAAACCGGTATTTTGACTTGCATTCGGAAAACTTCGTAATACTCGGAAATCTTTGGATATGTCCTTGTTTCATTTGTGCCAAATATTATTCATATTTATATTTTATCATGATTAAAAGTTGTTATTAAATTTTAATCAAGCATTGTGAATTTGTTGTGTTTTTGCTCTATAAATCAAGAATTAACTCAATTATAAGTAGTTTTTTGTTTAAAAATACTTCATGCAATATATTGCAATACATATCGCAATACATGCTTTCGCATCGCAATATATCGCAATATGAAAATTCTCTGCAATACCCACCCCTATGGCAGGGGACATCAGAAATGAGCTTCTCACATTGTACTAAAGTGGAGAATAGAACCTGTGTCTTCAGCGTGACAAGCGAACGCTTTAACCACTAGGCTACCTCACTATCCGCACAGGTCTTTTAAGCATGACATCTTGCCATTGTCTTCCATACAGTAAGACAAACTAAATCATATCATAATTAGATACAGCCTTGTCATTTAGCCAATGAAACTGTTTGACTTAGCTGAGGCACTGAAAAGGAGGTAACTTATACAAACAAAGTTGGTTTGAAAATGATTAAAGACCACATGAAACTAATGTTTTGCACTGGCGGAGCCCCTGAATAAAGATATTTGTATCAAGCCTGTTGCACAACAAACAGGCTATTGTCCTCCATAAACTGATACTTAATCACAGAGATTACACTACAAACAGGCTATTGTTCCTCCACAAACTGATACCTAATCATAGAGATAACACAACAAAAAGGCTATTGTTCCTCCACAAACTGATACTTAATCATAGAGATAACACAACAAACAGGCTATTGTTCCTCCATAAACTGATACTTAATCACAGAGATTACACTACAAACAGGCTATTGTTCCTCCACAAACTGATACCTAATCATAGAGATAACACAACAAAAAGGCTATTGTTCCTCCACAAACTGATACTTAATCATAGAGATAACACAACAAACAGGCTATTGTTCCTCCACAAACTGATACCTAATCATAGAGATAACACACAAAAAAGGCTATTGTTCCTCAACAAATTGATACTTAATCATAGATATAACACAACAAACAGGCTATTGTTCCTCCACAAACTGATACCTAATCATAGAGATAACACAACAAACAGGCTATTGTTCCTCCACAAACTGATACTTAATCATAGAGATAACACAACAAACAGGCTATTGTTCCTCCACAAACTGATACTTAATCATAGAGATAACACAACAAAAAGGCTATTGTTCCTCCACAAACTGATACTTAATCATAGAGATAACACAACAAACAGGCTATTGTTCCTCCACAAACTGATACTTACTCATAGAGATAACACAACAAACAGGCTATTGTTCCTCGAAAACTGATACTTAATCATAGAGATAACACAAAAAAAAGGCTATTGTTCCTCAACAAACTGATACTTAATCATGGATATAACACAACAAACAGGCTATTGTTCCTCCACAAACTGATACTTAATCATAGAGATAACACAACAAACAGACTATTGTTCCTCCACAAATTGATACTTAATCATAGAGATTACACAACAAACAGGCTATATTTATTCACTGGTGATGGTGGAGCACAGCAAACAAAAGTAGGAAGTATTGATGTCAGGCCAGTAGACGAAGAGTTCCATGTAAATATAGTCTTACATTTTACAAGAGCTTCTTTGTACAGTACAGTCAAACACTGTTGAGTCAAGGCTGAAGGGACCTATGTAAATACATGCTATTCGAGGTTTGAAACAACCCCAAAACGATGAAATACAAAAGTATGCTCTGTGACTAAGCTTTTGCTTCAGACAACTATGAATTTGACAAAAAGGTGTTTCGATAATTCTTTCTTGTGTTGATCTAAATACTTGGATGTTTGTATTAGCTTGACATCTCTAACTGAGCTTCCTTTCTGTCAAATCAGTCATTTTCCCAATGTCAATGAATCCATACATCATATTTGCTATCACAGCGATACATTATTAACACAGCTGGCAGCTTAGTGAACAATAATACCAGCTAACCTAGTGAACAATAATACCAGCTAACCTAGTGAACAATAATGCCAGCTAACCATCTGCTGTACTGGCCGGTTCTAGCATGATATACACAATGCATGGTCTTGACAATGCATTTACATCACTATACAATGGTAAACTGTGATATATAGATTGCATGTTACATGAGACATTCTACAAATTCAGGGGGCGGTGGGGTAGCCTAGTGGTTAAAGTGTTTGCTCATCAAGCCCATTTCTGATGTCCCCCCGACATGATATTGCTGGAACCAGAAGTAAAACCATACTTACTCACTCACTACAAATTCACACTTCAGATGATCTCCCTCAAAAGGTTTTCAAACACAAAAGAAAGGCATCCGGATGGATATTGTTAGTGAAGGGGGTCTACACACCAGGTTCATTCCAGAACAAATTCAACTATGCTCTGTGTAAATGGGTCAATAAAACTATACACACATGTCAAGCTATATGTAAATAATCGAGTCTGGATCAGACAATCCAGTGATCAACAGCAAGAATGTCGATCTGCACAATTGGGAACCGATGACATGTGTCAACCAATTCAGCGAGTCTGACCACCCAATCCCGTTAATTGCCTCTTACGAGAAGCATGGGTTACTGACGATCAATATTCTAACCTGACCTTCATGGTTTATTATATCCCCAACAATATACAACAGAAATGTTGTTACTTGAAGGTGATCCTTCTTTTACAACATGTCTGAACTTCTGTGTGTGGCATTTAGAAGTTGGTGTGATGAACAACGAGGAGAGGTCTATGGATATACAACTTCTTTATTATCAATATGAGCGACGTTTCTGTGTAGCTACTAACACTTGCTTGATAACGGTGTTAGAAGCTACACCAAAACTTTGCTCATATTGATAATAAATAAAGTGTATATCCACAGAACTCTCCCTGTTGAACATGTCTGACATCTAGCAGTTTGGAAGTGATCCTTATTTTATTCCCAACAACATACAACCTGAGTCTGTACACACTGTATAACAAAAACTGACCTATTTTTTAACCCCATGCTTAAGTAGGACAGGACAACCACAGCTATCCAAGGCGAGATACCTAAACAAACAAGCTACAATCTCGCTTACATTACGTGGGTGTTCTCCAGCAAGTGCAAACCAAGGTTTATCATATGATTAGGACTTGTGTGATTTTATCATGTTGTATTTGCATTTTTTGAACCTTGTATTGGGAATTAAAGGCCAAAAACCTGAAACACTTTTTTATACGGCATATGGGAACTCAACCAAGTTAATTATTTGGTGATATGTCATGCTGACTTCAAAGTACAATCCTAATTTTAGTATTTGATGCACCTGAAACAAGTCACGTCATGAACAATGTCATAGTGTATTAACACTTCTGCCCATCCAAAGACCTATGAAGGTCCGGGTTAGAATTGATCTTCAGTAACCCATGCTTGTCGTAAGAGGCGGCTAACGGGATCGGGTCGTCAGACTCACTGCCATGGTTGATACATGTCACAATTGCGGAGATCGATGCTCATGATGTTGATCTCTGGATTGTCTTGTTCTGACTCGATCATTTATGCACCACCGCCATATAGCTGGAATATTGCTGAGAGCAATGTAAAACTAACCTCACTCACTCACTTCACATCCAAATGCATGTGACACGTTTTTTTTCCTACAGAATGAAACAATACCTCAGTTCAGATGACATAAGTTATTCAAGAGCTCATGAAACCAAGTCAAAAAATTGTGTCAATGGTGAAGCAAAATGTCATGCATTTGCATCAGTTGACCAAGCCATGTAAATGTTTACAATGAACAGAATGTCAAGCCACTTAATGACATGAAACAACTCAATGCGGCATTCATGTGTCTTCGGAAGCCTGAAGCAACACATTTTCTGTTTCAGGATTTACATGTGCATGTGTATCACAACCAAGTAGAATATCAGATTGATACCATGATCAGCGGATCCTGGTACTACTAAGGGAGACAAGTCTGCATTGTGATTTTTTGTGCTCTTGCTCACCAATTTTCAAACTATAAAAACAGCACATAGAAATCATTACTTACTGTATTTTTCATCTTGCTGATAAAGCTGGGATCTGGAGCATTTTTTGCTTGAGGCCTGAAAGAACAATATAGCATTGTCATAATCACATACCAAGTTATATAAACACAATGAGGCATTTTACACAATAACCTACACCCACCTGTCAATCATCTGACATGACTGACCAATCTGAAAATCCCCTATGGCATAGAAACCACCATTTTTTCAACAACTTCACACTTGTCGGGACTCTTTATGGATTCAGTATAGTCACTATGGTTTCATATATATTTTTCTTGCAATTGTGACAGTGACTCAAATTTTCAAGCAACCACAAAATAAGTGCTTCAGCCAGGATTTTTTTGAGTGTTGCCAATTGCCACCTTAACTACTAAAATGTGTGCCAATGCAGTTGAGACTTTTGCCATTCATGGTAACCATGGTATAGAAGACCTGTGGATTATATTAAGTGTTGCGCCAATGCAGTTGAGACTTTTGCCATTCATGGTAACCATGGTATAGAAGACCTGTGGATTATATTAAATGTTGCACCAATGCAGTTGAGACTTTTGCCATTCATGGTAACCATGGTATAGAAGACCTGTGGATTATATTAAGTGTTGTGCCAATGCAGTTGAGACTTTTGCCATTCATGGTAACCATGGTATAGAAGACCTGTGGATTATATTAAATGTTGCACCAATGCAGTTGAGACTTTTGCCATTCATGGTAACCATGGTATAGAAGACCTGTGGATTATATTAAATGTTGCACCAATGCAGTTGAGACTTTTGCCATTCATGGTAACCATGGTATAGAAGACCTGTGGATTATATTAAGTGTTGCGCCAATGCAGTTGAGACTTTTGCCATTCATGGTAACCATGGTATAGAAGACCTGTGGATTATATTAAATGTTGCACCAATGCAGTTGAGACTTTTGCCATTCATGGTAACCATGGTATAGAAGACCTGTGGATTATATTAAATGTTGCACCAATGCAGTTGAGACTTTTGCCATTCATGGTAACCATGGTATAGAAGACCTGTGGATTATATTAAATGTTGCGCCAATGCAGTTGAGACTTTTGCCATTCATGGTAACCATGGTATAGAAGACCTGTGGATTATATTAAATGTTGCACCAATGCAGTTGAGACTTTTGCCATTCATGGTAACCATGGTATAGAAGACCTGTGGATTATATTAAGTGTTGCGCCAATGCAGTTGAGACTTTTGCCATTCATGGTAACCATGGTATAGAAGACCTGTGGATTATATTAAATGTTGAGCCAATGGGTACACTCTAGCATTGGAAAAAAGTGACACTGCATATTTTTTACTGTCAATGGCACAATTGAGCTTGCCTGGCTGAAGCACTGCAAAATGAATGCGAGGGAAGAAAAAAATAAAAACATACAGCACCTCCTTCACCCCATTTCCTCAGAGCTGTTAAACTCAGAACCTTCATAATAACTATTATAATAACCATAACAATAACAGTGATAACCTGCCAGTTGGAACATATTACTTCCTGACTAATGGACCATGGTGACCATTCAAGACAACTTCTTAAGATCCCTCAGTCAGCAATCTACCCCACTCAGCCACCAAGGGTAGTCTAGATTACACACTTTGTGTACCCCTCCGGCACGTGTAATTTGGCACAGTTCCCATGCCCGAAAGTGTAATCCAAATATAACGGTTACATTTCACCACTTTCTAAAAGTCACTGTGTGTTCATAATCTTAATCTGCTCATGCTGTTGATCACTGGATTGTCTGGTCCAGACTCGATTATTTACAGACTGCTGCCATATAGCTGGAATATTGCTGAGTGTGGTCTAAAACTAAACTCACTCACTCACTCACTCACTCACTCATAATCTTAACCATGTTTCATATACATTGTACACCTGTGGTACATATTGCACGTCATAACAAAGTGGATGAAAATAACAATGTTATACCTTTTCAAATGAACACTGATTAGGATATCATTCAATATTAAGCCTAATGCTATATCTAGGATTAAGATTACAACCAAAAATATCAAAGACACCCCCGACAGTTGTCAACACTATTTTTGTCTTAAAAACAAGGAATTAGGATTATTCTGTAACCATAGTAACATCTCGTGTGATCGGAGAAATTAATATCAGTAACTAGAAACATGGGAAATGGAGACCGGGAAAAAGAATTTCATCCGAACTGGATCATATTCAAGTTTCGGACTCAGCATTACCTACACACATTTACACACACAACACTGTATACATGGTAAACTGTATATTATTAATATTGGACTGATAAAGAAATAAGGTGTGATTTGTGAGTTTCACATGCTCTGCACTGAATGGTGTATAAATGTAAATAGAACCACTAAAGAAATAAAGTAGGTCATTTAACCAGTGTTTGCCCAATGCATACAAATTTAGGAGTCATCATGACTCCTTGGTGTCATGGGCATGTTTTGGGGAGCCAACTTCAGTTGATGAACTTTCATCAAAACATCAACTGTGATTGTTTAATAAGGCCAGACCAATTTTAGTTCTTGTTTTACAGATTTTTTTCCCTCAGAAAACCTAAAGGCAGGAGGGGAAAAATATATAAAAATCACCAGTCAAAGTAATATTCCTTCTAAATACTAAATACTTTTGAGGTGTATATGGGGTAAAAAAACAATCTAAAAATTGTTTTGTGTAAGTTTACATTTTTGGCCAATAAAAACATTAGAATTTTATTTTTTCAGAGTAGAAATTTTTTAATTTGTTTTTCTTATTCTTGAAAAAAACCGACAGGCGGATCCGTAAAACAAGAAATAAAATTGGTCTGGCCTAGCGATGAAAAGCAAGGAAAGGCAGGTCAGGTCTTTAATCAGCACTGAGCACTTAACTGGCATAATTTAGTTTTAGAAGTTTAAATTATCTGAACTAAGGGCCCAGTAGCATTGTGTCAACAATAATGCAAGCTTCTAAATTAACTGCATATTGGAGATAATTTGTGCGTCAAATACGCATGTGTCATGGAACATACATGAAATAATCTGTTCGAGCTCCTCTTAAGCAAAAAATGCAGTGATCATGACGGTGGAAACGAGTGAGTGAGTGAGTGAGTGAGTGAGTGAGTGAGTGAGTGAGTGAGTGAGTGAGTGAGTGAGTGAGTGAGTGAGTGAGTGAGTGAGTTTAGTTTAGTTTTACACCGCTTTTAGCAATATCCCAGCAGGGGGACGCCAGAAATGGCCTTCACACATTGCACACATGTAGGGAATCGAACCCAGGTCTTCGATCAAACACTTTAAGCACTAGTCTACCCCATCGCTCCAGGTTTGTCCACAGTGCTGTCAGGAAAGCATAGAAATACACTTGTGCCCGGAAGCGATATTTGCAAGTGCAAGTTTTCTGAACTCAGTTAATGCAAATTGTACAGTAAACAAAACTACTTACACAACTGTTAGACGTTTAAATGTTGGCTGCTCCTCTTTCTTTTTACGGAAAAAGAACCAGTAGATTGCAATTCCCCCTGCAGCCGACAGGATGAAGAGGTCCACAGTGGAGAACATAGCACCATCGCCCATGTTTGTCTGTGTCCCTGGGGCTCACTCTTGGATATTACCTGCAAACAAGAAGTGATTACAGTGAAGCCTCGTTAATCCGGACGGTTGCGTTTCTCAGTAAATTCGTCCGGATTGCGAATAGTCCGGACTACTGAATCAAGACCCAAGTTGCTTCCCTAACTATTACAAAAACGACATGAATCTGGATAAAACAAATAAGCATTTAATGTAAAGCTTCATCCATCACATCAATAATTTTACCGAGTGACATCCGCATGTTGATCCGACGTGTCTGATCACGTCCTTCCTCAGCACAGGTGAGGTAATGTCTAACAAGCGATCTATTGTAGTATGCCTTGAATGTCCGAATTATTCCTGCATCCATCGGGTTGAATATGAGGCGTGGTATTTAGTCACATTTCGCAAAAGTTAGCGAAGCATACTTGTGACTTGCAGCATTGTTAAGTAAAAGCAAAAATCACTTTAAGTCCACGTGACCGCATCTATCTGTCAAAGTACATTAACCAATCACAAAACAGCTCACTTGTCATCCACGCTTTGTATTGTGGTGTCAATCAAAGTGTAAATGTACAGTATCTTCAGTCGGGAGCTTTTAATGTCTAATTAAAACAACTACCCAGTTGGCCAGTTAATTAAGTAAACATCGCCGGGAGGTGTTGTTACGGTTCGTGAACACGACTTACAGCGTCCGGACTGTGAAGCAATTTACTGTTTATTTTACTGATTGGTGACAGCTACTTACCGTCCGGTTCCGGAAACCGAATTTCCGGATTATCGAGGCAAATTATATAGGCATAGATTGGTAACAAGCTGAAATCGCCCGGGAGGCGAGACATCCGGGTTATCGGAGTCCGGACTAACGGGGCTTCACTGTATATATTATTGGGATCTAATCTGGAATTTTAACGGTTTCACCTTGCCAGACTTGTGAGACACAAAGCTATGGTTTAAACTGGATACACCCACAGTAAATCAATGGAGATGAAATCCAAACAACAGTGAGTGAGTGAGTTTAGTTTTACGCCGTACTCAGCAATATTCCAGCCATATGGCAGTCTATAAATAGTTGAGTCTGGACCAGACAATCCAGTGATCAACAGCATGAGCATCGATCTTAGGAACCGATGACATGTGTCAACCAAGTCAGCGAGCCTGACAACCTGATCCTGTTAGTCACCTCTTATGACAAGCATGGGTTACTGAAGACCTATGCTACCCCGGATATCCACTTAATTCCAAACAGCAGGCAGGGTAACAACATGTACCATCTTTTAACGTCTGCAATGAAACTCTACTGAGGCAGAGAGTCTACCAACTAGACCACCAGGGTTGTTGTGATGCAGTGGAAGAGTGAGTGAGTGAGTTTAGTTTTACACCGCTTTTAGCAATATTCCAGGAATATCACGGTGGTGAACACCAAAAATGGGCTTCACACATTGTGCCCATGCGAGGAATCGAATCTGGGTCTTCCGCGTGATGAGCGAATGCCTTAACCACCAGACTTCCCCTACTCCCCTGCAGTGGAAGAGTGAGTGAGTGAGTTTAGTTTTACACCACTTTTAGCAATATTCCAGGAATATCACGGTGGTGGACACCAGAAATTGGCTTCACACATTGTACCCATGCGGGGAAGTGAACCCAGGTCTTCAGTGTGACGAGTGACCATTTAAACCACCAGGCTTCTCCTACCTACATCCCTGCAGTGGAAGAGAATAATGTGAGTGTCCTCTATAATAACTGAAGTAATTATCATATACACATGGTGCATCATTACCATATCTACATACAATGGATATTTATACACGGTCCTAAAAATATGTATCAGTCTTCTCACATTTATCATTTTCCTGAAGCTGAGGAAATCTAGACTTGCCACATTTTCTAGACTTGCATGGGCTTTCTTGGATATATTTGCTTTAAGCTCACGTGTGCTTTACAGTTCAATGGGTGAGTGAGTGAGTGGATTTTGTCTTACGCCGCTAGACACCAGAAATGGGCTGGTTGATTTTCAGCTCCCTGAGGAATGTCATTTTCAGACAAAGATGTAAGAGAAAGTAACTTTAGACAGAATGGAAGACTTTTCATGTCAAAAAAACTGTTTATCTTATGTCATAACCTTCATCTCATTATAGTTGGGCCTTCCCAAATTATTTGTTTCACAGAATCACTGTTTTGGCAACTTGGTCAAGAAAAATTGCAAACCCACTTAAAAAACCAAAAATGCTTTTATGCATTTAACTAAAAGGCGCAACTTAAAATACATAGCTGTTGAAAACAAAGACATGGGCTGACTGTTATTATCCTATGTTTCAACTCTCACAAGCATGGCAGCTCAAGATCTTGGTTACGAGAGTCATATCAGATTATATGACACCCTTGAACAGCATTAACAGATGCACCTTAGAAGTCACCAAAATTGCATTTTAAGTGGAATAGATTAGAAAAGAAATAATATTAGTAATATTAGTCCACTTTTATAGCACCATTCCTAAATGAATATCTTGCTCAGAGCACTACCATTATTACCCCTGATAACCCAAGCTGCCTGTGAGGTGCTAGAAGGTTAATAGTCACATGACTTATCCCACCAGGTACCCATTTTCTGCTGGGTGAACAGTCAATTTTTTAACAAACTCACTTGCCTGAGGTGAAACCACATGTATCACATGCACTCTGTTCGATCTACAGATTAAAATATGTGAAACACTATATCAAAGAGAGTAAAAATATACTAAATGCTCAAAGAGAACATAAATTACAAATGAGTACCATTCAGTCTCAAAAGCTTCTCCGGAGCCTCACTGAAATGTCCCTTACCTGGTGTCTCAATGAATCATGAATGATGGAAAACCTAGTCAACCTCACAGGTAACAGATACTGACGTTCATCAATTTCATCCACAGCCACCATCTGGTGACTGCCAATATGGACCAGTAATGATGGTGTATGTTAATGTCAAGCTGAGTTTGTGAACACATACAGGCACTCATCTATTAAACCTGCAGGGGTCGTGTTACAGGAGCATCCAGCATACGAAATAGCTTATAACTGGCCCGCTAGCTAAATGCAAGCTGATTGTGACTGACTGACCGACTGAGTTTGGTTTTACTCTGCTTTAAGCAATACTCCAGCAACATCAAAGCGGGGGACACCAGAAATGGGCTTCACACATTGTACCCATGTGGGGATTCGAACCCGGGTCTTCGGCGTGACGAGCCAACGTTTTAACCACTAGGCTACCCCACCACCCCTAGCTGATTGTGAATCGGGCAGAGCTACAGATAACTTTTAGGGTCATTGAGTTTCGTACTCGCTTGTGTTCATCTAAATTTGGTATCCTAATTTTCCTTTGAGTAACCAAATAAATTGTACTCACCTCACTCAAACTCAATTGGATATTTTGCCATTTTTCCATTACTTGTGAAAATCTGATAAAGTTTAAATGTTGGTTGACATGTTTGTTCAGAGACCCAGATAAGATTTAGCTCATGTGGGTACTGTACCCACCGTATTTTGTTGGAGTGGGTATTACGAATGTTGAGTGGGTATTTCAGTTTCTGTTACCCACTGCTTTCAAATATTTCAGTCATTTTACTCACCTAAGTATTATGTCATTGAGTAAGTTTACTAAGCAGGTATGTTCTGCCTTATGTCATACCTAATCAAAACCAACTTAAATATAATGGAAATGATTTCATAAAAAATCACTCATCCTGTACTGACAGTACAACACTAGTCCTATACTAACAGTACAACTTGATAGCAATCCATGTCTTTTTCATTACACAAGCGATATTTATCAATATATTCCGTACGCATTTGTTTTAAACTTTTTGCGTATCTAACATTTTATATGCATAATTGGTACGCAACAATTATTTTTTCAATGCGTAATTGGAAATTTTCTATGCGTATTTTACCCGGATATGCAGCTTATCTGGGCCTCTGTTTGTTATTCATATTTAACCTGTAATATGAAAAATGACAAAGAAAGACTATAAGTTGCCAAGTTCATGTGTTAAAATAGAACCTCTTTAATATACCTCAGTTATTTTATCTACCCACCGGTATGCAAGCTAAGATTTGACATTTTTGGGTGTACGCATGTAAGATCAAATGTATTGAGTATTACAAAACTTCAAGCATACGTGTACGCAATAGACTTTATAGGAATTGAGTTTTCACATAAAAATTTGCAGAATTTATGCAGATACGCAGCTTATTTGTACCTCTGATCGGGCCAGTAATATATTGTCAAGGCTATCAAGACTGGCTAGCTGAAGATCTCAGATAATTTGTTCATTATTTAATGCACATGAATATAATGAAGTCAATTCTTAAGGTGTTAAAAGTCTGTCCGCTAAAGTTTCGTGATATTCATTATCTCTTGTCACATGTTCAAGATCACTATATAATTATTTTTATAGTGTTGCGTAAAAGAGGTTAAGAACCAATACAGTAGTTGTGTTCCGATTAATTGAAATAATCGAAGATTGATCGCAGTGACCAAATGACTATGCAATCGATCACATTTTCTCATAATCGAACATAAACGATTTTGGAACTACTGTTTTAGTCTTTGAAATACTTGACAATGGAACATACCGTTGAAGTTGTCAGGGCATGAAAACGTGTTTAATTCTTAGAAAACTCACTTCACTAACTGAAAAGCCATGACTGAATATTTCTTGAAGACTCCAGGGTTTATGTTCATGATATATTAGTCATCACTTTAAAGTAGCAAGTAGCATCATGTTATAAATATCTGCAATAACAACATGGATAGGAAAATGTGAAAAATTACGCTAACCAATTTTTTTCGATGATTTCAACCAATTCCCAACACTACAATACAGTTGTAACGTTGAACTTGATTGGCTAAGGCTTACTAGTATTTGTATTTAAGAAATAATGAAAGAAATCTTAGGTTTTTTGTGTTTGTTAGATTTATATTGTTTCCAAGGGGCGACAATAATTTACCATCTTCAATTACCAAACATCACACCAATTCTGACCGATGTGCATTATGATATTGATA